TCATACCTCACTAAGGAACCGAGGTTCAATGGGGGTTGGGAACAACATAACAGTTATAGCTATTTCTAGGTTTCTTACATGTACAGGGAAAAAAAAAAAAAAAAGTAACAGAAAAAAGCAAGATTAGGATTTAATTGTGTCATTGCCTGTAGCATTAAAGAATTTTGTTAAACACCAATTCATCATGCTCTAGTGATACAGCTAGAGGATAAGGCTCTGCTTCGCTCCACTGATATGTGTTTCTTTCTTCTCATGCTTGACAAGCTTAGAAACAAGCATTAATGCAAAATTTCAGACGCTTTGAGGTATCAGACAAGAAAAAAACAGTTGGAGTGGTTTAAAGAAAAATCAGCTGAAGTTTCAAACTTGCTGCTCTCAGAGGAGCTTAAAAATAAGCTTGTGCAGCCTAAACTCACAGAGAGGTTTATGATGGTCTGGCCTGATCAGGAAAACACAGTAGCATCCATTCAGAGTTCCATTATTCTATATAAGAAATTGGCCATTTGAGTGTATGACCCAGAGAGTCATTCCGAGTCTGTAGTGTCAGTGACTTTGCTAACTTATGGTATCATGAAATCTGTTCCAGTTCACTCTGACATACGCTTTTATTCTAAGGCATTGAAAGCTCACACGATACAGCAATGGTGCTAAGGAACAGAAAAGTGTGTCAGACTTTATGAAGTGCTTGTTATTAATTTCTAATTATGATGTTATCAGAGGTACACTATTATTGCAGGCTTCATTAATCCTTTTTGTTTCAAAATCTGGACTTTGGCCATTACTTAGATTTCAGCCCTCTTTCGTCTCAAGCACAGCAGGATCCCACTGGGTTTATACGACCTTAAGGAGCTGTGCTGCAAGCTCAAAGTGCTGTTTAGAGATGTTTTGCCAAGGCTTACACAGTTTTTCCTTCATTGTTTCTGGTGTCACAGAATAACTCTCTCTGTTTCTTTAATTTCTTAGTTGTGGATGAGCCTTTTTAGTGAACAAGAAAATGTGTTACAATCTAGGGACCTGATCTTGCAAGGTGAGGAACACTCTCACTGCTCAATAAATCATGACTCTGACAAATGCTGAGATATTGCCAGAGATTAGCAGACAGCTCTATGTTACTCAGTAGGCAGTACTGAACATGCTATCTTACATTTAAACGCTTTTTGGAGCTGCAACAGCCTCTCTCATACCCTTGGAGAGAGGCTTTCACTTTCTTGGTGAGGGATCACTGTCCTTAGCCTTCTCCTGAAATCTAGCTCCTGAGAGAGATTTCTTCTGCAGTCCTTACTTGAAATGACTATTTCAATATTTTACTGAATGGTTGGTTAATATAATGCACAATCACTTTTAGGAGTCAGTTCCCAACACAATGTCTTTCCTGATAAGCTTCTGAACTTCCAGCCATGTGTCTTGTACCCAGCTCTTGGATATCATCTTCCTCTGTTGACCTTTGAGTACCTACAGGGAAGGTAAACCAGCTTCAGCTGGTAGAACACCTAACTCTTTGCTTATATGGTAGCCTAAGAGCAATTTGCTTAAATAGTAGGCTACCAGGGGAAATATGACAGGGAGTGTGCCCCAAGAGAAAACTGAGCCCCAGTTTCCCATTCTCTGTCTAACACACTGAGCTGGGAGCAAAGGAACTCCTATTTGTGATACCAGCACAATCATCCCGTATTTTTTTGGAGCACAATCTCCCAGACAAAGTACCAGAAGTGATATAAGCAAAGGAAGTTCTCCTGTATTTCAACTTCCTGCAAAGCTCTTTATGAGCATAATTAATAGTAAAAACATAGTTAGATCAAATTGGATCTGTAATTTTTCAAGCTTTTGTCTCCAAACAGTTCTGATGTACTTCATGCAGGGTACCTAGTTTTAGTACTGTATGTGATGCTTAATTAAACATGTGAGTGCAGGCACTGACTAGTGTTTTCAGCTGGCTTGTTAACACTTGCTCATTTGACAGATTTTCTGAGAAAGAGGGTATGAGAACACCGCCACTCTTGTTTGTGCTAAAAAAGTCAGTTTACATTATGTTGAGCATTCATGCTATAACAAAAACAATTAAGGGAATCATTTTGTTTTTATTCTGTAGATACAATCTACTAACATGTTTTGCAGTAGCTATTTCAAATTCCTTTGTTACACCAATAACACCAGGAACATTTAGAAAAGCAATCATTGTTTAAAGCACATACTTAATTTGAGGAGAACTGGATGCTTGTAATGGCTGCTGATGTATTCCGTGATAACAATACATATAGGTCTGAGGTAAAATTAATGAGGAAGAAGTGTGGTATTTCAGAATCTGACACCACACGAGGTTCAGTACATCCTCTTCTCTGTCAGTGTTAGAAACAAGGCATCTTGAAAGCAAGATGAGGAATAAAGTCATCCTCTCCTTCCCCCCATCACCATTACAAAATATCTTTGAAATGTTGGAAATGTTGTGCAGACCACCCAAATCACAACCCAGTGTTATGCAGAACTGTTTTGTGGGTAGAGTATTGAGTAAGGGGGCCTTTAAGGTCCCCTTAAAGCTGCAGGCTTAAAAACTGAAAGTAGGCTTCCAAATTGTCCTGTGTTGGTTAACAGCCAACGAAAATCCTCTTTGCAGAGGACTGGCAGGGTGCTAATTCCAATCCAGAGAGGCCTGAAGACAGTGTCTAATCTCCCAGTTATCCCCCACCCCGAAATTTTTGGAGTCGAATTGAACTAGTAGCAAGGGAAAGCAGGAAAAGACAAAGAACAAAACAATAAGACCTTCAAACACATTCCTAATTTAAAACTCCAAAACGTATTTGTGTAGAAGTGTAAATAATAATATCAGTTCTTGAGCTCATCTATAGGATTGTACAGAGCTGAACAAAATGGCTACAGTATCAAGGGTATCAGCTAGCAATAACCCATGTTCTGAATACAAATGAATATTTCCTGTACTGCTGTTATTTCAAATCTCTTTTTGGTTTCAGCTATTACTTTCCCAAGCTCAGATATATTCTTAATTAAAATCAGGTAAAGAAAGCTCCAAGGACAGCCTATAACAAAGACTCAGAACAAATTATAAAGGTTTCAGTAATTGTAGCACTGACATTTTTTCCAGCAGGTTTAGTTTAAGGGACCGATCAGCTGTTAAGGACAGAAAAGTGTAGATTAAACCTTTAAGTCTTAAAAACCGAATATCTTCACAGCTTTGTAGCAGAATTAATTTGGCTTTACAGACCTTACTTCAGCCAAATTAGCTTTGAAGTTAGTCACCCTTATAGAGTGGTCCCTACCCTCACAGAGCTTTACCAGCTGCCTTGTAATTGCAGCTATAACATACTGCGTGTCAATAATACATCATGTCAATATTACATCATAACTTAACTGGCTTTATCACAACAATCTGTCGAGCAAAATGCAAATTATACTGCTAGCCAATCTTCACTGCATAGACTTGTGAGATGTCAAGTGGGGAGTATTTCATTTATATCTGCTCCTAGGGATTGACCTGTCGGAGTGCCAAAGGTCATCAGCTCCCAGGGAAGCCCAGCAGAACTGAAGCACCTTGAACCCTCAAAGGCCAGATCCTAAACTGAGTCACCAGCCGTATACTCATGAGGAACCTTACCTTCCTACTGAAACAAGCTGCACAAACGTGTAACCTTGCTAGAATCGACATTTCAGCCCAGGCAGTTTTAAAATATCAACAGTCAGGGGCCAAACCCTTGAGGTGCTGAGCCTCCTGCTGCTGACCTGGCTGGTAGTTAAAGCTGCTCAGCCCACCACTCTGCTGCTCAGCAATTACCTGACTCAACCTTTTAGGGTCAGTGGCTGTCATTGCCATCAAGGTTAGTAGCTGTAAATGGCCGTTGAAACATATAAAGGCCCCCACCTACCCGTACAATTACAATGCAGCAGTTTTGCCACAACAGTCATGAGTGGGTTGGTCATAATTTTTCTCAGCCTTGGTTTTGACTGTCCTTGAAAGCTTGCCAACAAAGAGTAAAAAGGGGAAAAAGTTCTTGCCAAGGATGCAGTGATGAATAGGAGGAAAAGTTGGGAATTGTGTTTGTTTATATCTAAGGGGAAAATAAGTGATATCATTTCATTGAATTGGTTAAGAATTATGAAATTAATTCAGTCATCGTAAGATGCAAGACTTGATGAAGTATATAAAATTTAATTTATTTTTTTTCGTTGGTGGCTTCCCCTTTCCAGTTAATAGGTGTTGGATTAGATCTTCATATACAAGAGGGGGAAATGGGGCTCCTCCCAGAGATTTCCTTCCTACCAAAACCTCCTTGGCATGTAAACCCAATATACCAGCATTTTGCTTAAAGGGTCCTAATGCAGTACATGAACAGATAAAGATATGGCTGAGTCCATCTAGCCAGGGCTTTTGTGACAGTACCTGCTTTCCCTGAAGTTTATAAATAATTAAATAAATGCCATCAACAGTACAGCACAACCAAAGCATAAAACAAAATCAACCATAATTTATTTCAGGTCATTGAAAAACTGGATTCCTGATCAAACTTTCAGGTCAATCTGAAAAAAAGTTCAGATGTATCTGTCAGACTGAAACTACAATGACTGGTTTGAATATTTTCATAAAGAAATCTTGACCAATTACTTAAAGCATTTTTACTCTGTTAACCATTCCTTTTATCTCTAGAGGCTAAGAGACAACTTATATGCTTTCTGAATTACACACCTGCTTTGTCTCTTCATGGGCCATCTCCACTATGACATGTGAAGTCACCAGAAGAAAACTCTTGTCCAAAAGAGGCTGGAGAATTAATTCAAAAATAAGGCATTTATGGTGTTTGCCACATATATGGATTCTCAACCACCTGAGTAAAGTAGCCTAATCTGAACAGTCAAGGCCTGGTTAAATATTTGTTTCCGTCTGAAAGAGTCACTTTGCAGTTAAACTCACACAACTGCTTGCTCTAAGTAGGTCCTTGCAATCCCATGGCCACATGCCAAATCCTCTCCCATTTCTTGTCTCTGTGTTGCAGAAAGCTGCTGAGTGGTACAAAGACAAGATGATGCCTGCTGGGTTCCCCGCATTCAGCTTCCTACTTCTCTCAAGAACAAGCTCCAGTGTATGTCTTTGCCAGCAGGGCATACTGAAGGGGTCTCTGATCTCAAAAGGCAAGGCTAGGTTTGAACTTGTCCTTTATTCAGAGCAATTACAAGGTATCTCTCATCCATTCAGCCACTGGTGTGCGTGCTGCTAATGGGAGCCTAATTACCTCCACCTTTCTTCCAATTGTCGTGGGAATTAGGTGGTGGGTTCAGAAGTTACTGGCAGAGTTGTTCATCTAGGTTGCTAACAGGACTGCTGCTAATTAGATTACTAATGTATCTGGTTCTTTCTATGCAGACATTTCTTTTTTATCCCAGCTGATGAACTGATGCCACATCTTCATTGCAATAGAACAATCTCAGTTCACTCACTTTCTAATTGGCAATTTGTGCAAATTAATCACTATGGTTTGGGTGCAACCTGCTATCAACATGTCTGACATGAAGATTTATAATGATGCCTGACAGCTGTACCTCTAAACCTGTTTAGAAGAGATAGAAATATATATATATATATATATTTATTTTATTTTATTTTATTGGGGGGGGGGGGGGGGGGGAGGAAAGAGGGTTCATACCAAATTGTGGTCTGAAGCTTATCTTTGGGTAAATCTACACTGCATTATCACACTGCAATACCTGTCCTGATATGAGCCAGGTCAGATATATAATGCTGGATCTTCTTTTATTGGTGTACTTGGTTTGTGCTAGTCAAAATTCCTCCTTGTCTTAGGGAGAGTCAGAGGCTATTGTGTCTGTATTGGTGCTTCTTCACAGACTGGCACTATGTAAAGTCAATATTCCCAGAGACAGGTGCCAATCCATGTAACTTCTTCTACACATGTAGAAATGTGTATAGATGTAATGATTACTTGGAACAGTCTGAATCACCAAAGCCCAAAAAGGGGAAAAACAAACAAACAAACAAACAAAAAAAAAAACAGATCCAGATCAAAGGTGCTCCATACTGGTAGAGAAAAACAGACCAATTTCACACACTCAGTGCTCAAGACAACAAAGAGTGCACTATACCTTTAAAATGAATCAGAGTGTTTTGTAATTTAAATGTGAACTTTTGGAAAATAAATTACTATTCTCCACTTTTACAAGGTTAATTTTTTCATGGCCTCTTGATCACATAAGATGACTAATCAACACCCAGATTTAGCTTTGGAAACCATTTATTTACTCTCTGGTTTCTTTCCACGTTCTTGCAGTGTGTAGTTTAAGTCTTCTTTAATCTACTTCAATTCTGGAAGACTGATTAATAAATATTAATTATAAATATGCTGAGTAGGCATTGTGAAAGAGGATGAAGTGGAGGTAATGGCTGGGGAAGGGAGGGTAGCGCAACTGTCTTTCTAATATGCTGTGTATGCCACTACCTATGAGTATGTCTTTGTGTTCCCTCTCATACTGTGTCTAGCAACTGCTCTCGCATACCTAACCCTTGACTTCTGCTGTCACATATTTGAAGCTAACTCTCACGTGTTTGCAGCACTGTCTCAGTCTCTTCTCACCCCATGACCTATTGTGCCAGACCTTGTCCATCAAGGTTTGCCATCTGGCAGTCTGTTGAGCCCAGACAAGCCCTGTTCATGAGCATACTCACCTGCTGCACTCTTGGGCTAGGATTTTTCTCAGTTGACTTGATACACTGACTGCATCCTTGAGCTCATAAACTAGCCCAGTGCTGCTTCATCAGAGATGATACCACCTGAGAAGTCTTTATTCCAGGCACCAGCAGTGAAAATAGGCCACGGTGGGAATAAATTGCCGTATTCATCTTTGTTTTCTTTTCTGTACAATAATTTTTGACACTTGGTTGGAAAAAAAAAAAAAAAAAAAAAAAAGTTGCAAACATGAAAGTCTGCTTAATTAGACATATAACCACACCATCAGTGTATGCCCCTGAGAGCTCAAGGGATAATGTCAGCAGCAGAGAGCACTGTGACGGAGCAGGGTATGCTGTTGCAGCAGAAAATGCCAAGGAGAAGCAAAGGCATTTATAGAAAAGGCAAAGCTTAAAGATTTTATTTTCCAAGTCAGATATGTGAATGAGGATAATATTCTCTGGGGATAGAAGTGGAGAATAAAATTCCAGCTAATAGAACATATTCATCCAGGAAGATATATTTAGATCTGCTGAAAAACAGTAACAAATATTTATGGGTATGAATTGTGATTAGCTAAAGCATGTCCTTAATTTCTCCTCCTTGATAAATCCAACTCTTCACTAACACAGCATATCATTTTCATATTTACTCACTGACAATATTATTTTGTGGATGAGCTGGTGAACTGCCACATAGTTAAATTAACTTATTTTTGGTCTGACAAACCCATTAAAATGGAGCAACATGGCAGAACAATACCTTCAGATTTGGAAGCAAGAGCCTCTGCTTTGCCTTCCCCACAAATACCATGATTTTTCAGTTGCTACTGTGGTGGCTGCGAGCTGGTTGCCATGTCCTTTCTGTTGTCATTGTTCCTTTATTACAGCACATGAAATTGCTGCTTGATGATTAGAAAGGTGTTAGATGGGTTTAATTGCTGATTTAAATCAAAACAGAAAGCACCTCCTCACTGTTGTCAGTCCTAATGCATCACTTTGTAAAAGTAGTTCTTTAAGGAATATGAAGTCAAGAACAAAATCAGCAAATATATGTTTCATAAACTCAAAGGCCCCTCAATTATATACGTCAGTAAAGCACACTTTGAAACAGGAGAAAATTTACAAGAAGATTTTAAGGGCTGCAGCCACCCATCAGCTCTGTTCATTGCAGGCACAGTGCCCCATGCTGTACACCTAAAGAGTGATTGCCCTCCTTCACAACTCTTTTCCTCAGTCCTTTGTGCAGACACATCCAGCATTGCCCAAGCAAGGAATCCCTTCAGTTTGCTATGTGAAACTATTAAGTTGTTCTTCTAAAGTCTCATGGAACAGAATGAATGATACCAGTCTTTGAGAAAGGTAGGATCTTTCACACTAAGCACCATGCTCTGGTTTTCACCTTAACGACTTAAAATCCTGCAGATATTTACACAGTCATCTTTCAGCTCTGGTGCTGGAGTAGGCTCAGGAAATACGGTCTCTTTTTGCTTGTCACAGGTTTCCCGTGTTGTCTCATACAAGTAGCTTAGGTCAAGATTTAAAAACATGACTCACGTTTTTAAGTGTCATTACTTGAGAAACTTTAAACAATTTTTCCAAAAGAAGATGCTCAGAATATGCAGGAAGCAGTAAATGCTTTTTAAACACTACATTTTCCTTCCCATCCTTACTGTTTTTTTTAATGCAATGGTTAGTGTTTTTTATAGTGAGGGGAGTAGCTACAAGTGCTGAGAATTCAAAGTTGACAAAAAATCTCTTCGAAAAAGCCCTGACTTAAACCCTTAAGCTTGAAGTTCTTGGGGTTCATTAATCACTTTTGAACTTCTTAGTATTTATCTTTCTGGGCTTTAGCTGCTCAGGCATTGCAGAGGCTGTATATATTTGCATCTGGTAAAGGTTCTCCATGGAAGGACTTGCAAAGAAGCAGACGCCTTAACTTCAGAGGGAGGACTCAGTGAGCAAAAGTTTCTGACACCTTTCTGTCTCGTGAAGGCTTTGCTGCAGGGTCATTGTCTTTGCTTTCTATCTTCAGTGCCCCACATAGTTCAAAAAACATCTTCACTGGACACTTACCCACTGCATCTTTAATGTCTTCTTCTAGATTGCCTATTTCATTATAAAGGAATATAAATTTAGATAGCTGCAATGATTGATTGCCTTTTCTATGTTATTATACCATACCATTTTACTTGTGTGTTTTCAATTTCATGGTGGATTAAAATAAATATTTTGTTCACCAGCAAAAGTTGGCATCTGTTCAAAATACTATCTTAGAGATATATTCATTCCTATGCAGGTGATGTTCTAATGATTCCTTCCATTTTCAAAGCTATTTTGAGGCATTCAAAGTCAACTCTATTAAGCTGATAGATCCAGACCGGGGATTTAGGAACCGAAAAGCTCAGCACCGCTCCTCCTAACACATAAGCGTCTAGCCCTCATAGTGTCATTAACAGCTCTGAGTTATGTGCCTAGGCATGATATTTCATAAGGCTCTTTGCTCCACCTGGCTTCACCCCAAAACAGAGAACTTCTGGAAGATGTTTTTTATTCTCCCTAGATCCTATTTTATTGCACCCCTGGGTAAGACTCTGTGAAAAAGCTGCTTCTAGTCTTCATGAAATATTACTTTCACATCCTGGCTGAATCTAAATTAATGCAAGAGACACTGTCAAAAATTCACTCCTATATTTTAGCTGACATAAAATGACTAATGATTATTTGGCAGTCATGGCATTTAAATATTGATAGTCTTCCTTAAAAGCTTTTATTTCATTATTTGATATTTGACTGTTTTACTTCATATAAATGTGCAAGCAATTTGAACCTAATTATGCACTTGTCACTTAACTCCTACTTGCAGTTTTCCACAGTGCTATTCCAGATAGGCATGAATTAAAATGATTTGTCTGCATCAGATCAACAGTATTTCTCATGTAAAGTCTCCACATCCAGGACCATTGATGACCAAAAGTGAGTTAGGTTCCAACTAAATAAGAGTAAATTAATTATGCAAACTCCTAAAGAAAGAATCCAAAGTGATTATTGCTTTTAAATGTCTAATCAGAGGTTTGGGGATGAATCCCAATGCATTAGTGAATAGAATTATAAATAAGAAAGTTCTGGTATTTGAACTAGTACAATATACCCCTAGCTGTATCTTCGAGTTACCTCTGCTTTTCAGATGCTTACACAATTGAGGCATTACATTACATGTACAAGTCCTCTGGTACCACAGAAAGATGAGGAGCTGGCTTGAGAGTAATGTGAGCTCAGATCGTGTGTTTTGACCAAAGTTATTGTTTTGTGGAAATAAATGTTTTAGGAAGATAGTTTATACTACTTTACCATAAAGTAACATCTGCACATACACTGAATGACACTCTGACCATACAAACTTTCATGTATACTACTGTCCAGGTAGTAGTATCTATTCATCTATTACGTCTACATATCAGTTATTTTGGATGGAAGTTGTGATGGCAGGGACTTAAATGAGTTTTTGAAATGCTGTCTTTGGAAATGGAAATGAAAAAGTGTCCCTCTTGCCTAGAACTCTGACTGAAATTTGGGAAGGGACCACAGAAAGGCAGGTGCTGTCAGACATCACTCAGTGAATCAAGTTTTGATAAATAACATTTCCCCAAACTGATGCTTACATGGAGGCTTTTTAAAAACATTTTTGAAATGAGGAAGCATGATAATAAAAGCCTAGAGCATTCCATAGTAATTCTGGTATATTAAATTTTAATAGTATTGATGTATTTTTATAAGGAGTAAGCAAGAATGGTAACAACTTACTAGGGAACGCAATTGCAATGAACCTGAAAAGAATTTAAAAATGAGAAGTTGTGTCTGAATTTGTTCCTGAAT